GGAGGAAGACCCTCATGGGGGGGGGGGCATCCAGTTGGGGTTTCCTGGTTTAGCTGCCCAGAGGGATACCCTTGCTGTTGCTGGGAGGACGCCAAGAGGAGTGGTAGTTCTCATGAAGCTTTTCCTTGATTTGAGTCTACTGGGAGGAGGCTGGTAGCCATGTAGTGGGTGGCTTTCACAGGGTTCAACCTTATTTCTCTCACATTTAGCAGCAACTTCCCATCGCACATCGGGGGGGGGGGGGGCGGCAATGCCAGCTAGCTTGTAGAGTTTATCAACAGGTGTAGGTTTAAGACATTCTGCATGTTTCATTCAATGCTATATTCACCTGCTTTGCATGGGCAGACCTATGCCAAACAGGGCAGGCATACTCAGCAGTTGAGTAAGACAAGGCCAGGGCTGATGTTCTTATTAATTTTGGGTCTGCACCCCATGTGCTGCCAGTAAGTTTCCGCAGGATGTTATTACGTGCAGCTACTTTGTGCTTGGTGTTCAAGCAGTGTTTCCTATGTGTTAGTGTTCGATCTAAGGTGACACCGAGCCATGGGAAGTAAAATGGAATGAGAGTGCTAGAATTGTTTGGAGTGAAACAACCCCAGGGTTTGGGATGAAGCAAGGTATGTCAAGTTGGATAGGTTTGAGGGGTCCCCTGGTGGCGCAGTGGGTTCAACCGCTGAGCTGCTGAACTTGCTGACTGAAAGGACAGCAGTGATTGAGCTCCCGCCATTTGTCCCAGCTTCTACCAACCTAGCAGTTAAAAAAAAGTGCAAATGTGAGTAGATCAATAGGCACCGCTTCTGCGGGAAGGTAACAGCACTCCATGCAGTCACGTGACCTTGGAGGTGTCTATGGACAATGCTGGCTTTTTGGCTTAGAAATGGAGTTGAGCATCACCCCCCAGAGTCAGACTTAATGTCAGGGGAAACTTTTACCTTAGGTTTGAGTGTGGATCTGCTTTTAGCAGTTTTCTTTGGCCAAGCTGCTTCTTTGGCTTGGCCCGGTGTCCGTAATGGGCCCAGCCGTCACAGGTTTTCGTACATAACAGGACCCATGGCAGCCGATCATGGCTCCTCCTGACCTATTCAACATCACAGTTGAATCTTTTTCTTTTATTTTCTTGATTCTTTTTATTTAGTGGGAATGACTGGGAGTTGGGGATGGGATATGTGAGATGGGTGGGGTGCAGGTGTGCATTTGTGGGCTTGGAGAGTCACCGTTTTAGCTTTTTTTTCTCCTTCTCTTCATCTCCTTCAGAAAATATTTGTAAAATATAGTAATAATTATTAATAATAGTAATCCCAGCAAGCACAGAGAAGCCCCATTCTCAGAAAACTACTAGTTACCTCTCCTCTAGAGTAGAAAGTAGAAACAGCTTTAAGGAAGCATTAAACTTGAAGTAGAAATGAGATTGAAGCATGCCACTCCAGGCAGGGCCTGCAGCTGAGAAAAGAGAGGGTTTTTTAAAGGAAGCCCAGGGAGGATAGCTCTTCTTTCCCTGGGCCTCCTTAAAATGCCTTGAAAAGCTGTGTGTGTACAGTAGGGAGAGAGAACGCACCTGCCTGCCTGCAACGCCTATCTCCTCTACATTAGAAACAGCTTTAGCAAAACATTAAACCTGGTCTCCTCTATAGACAGAAGGAAAAGGATTGCAGGAAGAGTGGTAACTTAACTCTGTTCAGGCCTGTAGCGAGGGGGGGGGGTGTTTTAGGGGTTCAACCCCCCCCCTGAAATGTTTCAGATTTTTTAAAAAAACTGGATTACTCATGAATTTTAACTGGTTAACCTAATCCCCATGCTAAGTCTATGAGATGCAAAAAATTAAGAGTCCCTCCAGAACTGCAAGCACTATCACAAGCAAATATTGACAATTTTTGGGACCCGTCTACCTGCGAGACTGCATCTCTGTGTACAAACCCATACGATCTCTTTGTTCATCTGGAGAGGCCCTACTCACGATCCTACCTGCATCGCAAGTGCAATTGGCGGGGAAGAGGGATAGGGCTTTCTCGGTGGTGGCCCCTCGACTCTGGAACTCTCTCCCTTAGGACATCAGGCAAGCCCCAGCCAGGATAACAGCATGCCCATCCCCCTCCAAACACTTACCCTTTTCACCTGGTCATGCCCAGCACTAAATAATTTTAATTATTACATTTGGCCCTGCCACAGATTTTAATTGTGTCATGGTGTGTTGTTAATGTTATTGCCTTGTTTTTTGAGTTATTTCGCTGTATTGTTGCTGTTGTTTTTACTGTTGTATTTGGGTTTGGCCTCTTGTAAGCCGCACCGAGTCCTCCGGGAGATGGTAGCGGGGTACAAATAAAGGTTTATTATTATTATTATTATTATTATTATTATTATTATTGTCATTGTGGGGTGTGTGTGTTGAATGTTCTCATTAAGGAGGCCAGACTTGGTGGAGGTGGTTGACAGGGGCGGAGCTGCAGCTATTGAAGGCTGCTCTGCCCCCTGCTGTGCTCTTTGCTTCAGCGTGAGCTAGGAGGCAGGTTTCAACCCCCCCGTGAAATTTTCAAACCTCCCCAAAATTTTGGGGTTTTTTTTGAAAATTTCAACCCCTCCCGAATTTTTTTTTCTGCCTACGGCCCAGACTCTGATGCTTTTAATCCATCTTAATGAAGGATATAAGGACAAACAATACCTTAAATGATGGGAAGGGAAGCCTGGGAAGCCCCCCCCCCCCAATAATGGACCAGATAGGGTGCTTTCTCAACCCTGTTGCTGACACCCAGACTTCCTTGAAGAAAAAATAAAGGAAAGGCTCCCAGGAACGGAAAGGGGAACCTCACAAGTTTCCCACTGCTACCAGTGGGCCATATCTAGCCGCATTTTTCAGGTGTGGACCAAAAAAGGTTATCCAGCTACTCACCCATTTTCGGGAGGCGATACGAGGGTCTACTGGAATCCGGCATCAGAAATGGATTGAGTCTCAGCTGAAATGCACAGGTGCATAAGCCATTCAGTAGTAGTGCTGCAGCAAGCCACTCATGGCCAAGAATTTGGGTTGAGAATGAATATTTATTGTGGAAATTTCTTGGAGAAGTAGGGAAGGTTTGGGTTGCCAAGTAGTTGCCGTATTATTCCCTGAAAGAGAAAAGAAAATGTTGTTAGACCTTTATATTAATATATTAAGATTTATGGGGTCAAAATTAAGCGTGAGAAAGCAACTAGCATCCATCTGAGATCAAGAGTAATGCAAACTACCTTCTATATCACCAGCTGTGTGTGTGTGTGGGGGGGGGGGCAGATCTTAATTTGTGGGATATGATCACTCCTCCACGTTTGTGGTTTTTTACTTTTGCAAATTTGAATTATTCATATATTTCATTGAAATATTCTCTCTAGGAGTTTCTGGGTCCTCCAGTGCAATTTTGTGTTGTACTTCCACTTGAACTTGACCATAGAGTTGTACTGGAGGACCTAGAAAATCCTAGGGTAAATTTTTTTTATACAAAATCATATTTATTGAGATTTAGGTAATACCAGTAGAAAAGAAACACAATTAATATTAGCTATGGGTTGCTGTAGGTTTTTCAGGCTATATGGCCATGTTCTAGAACAGTGGTTCTCAACCTGCGGTCCCAGAAATCCTAACAGCTGGTAAACTGGCTAGGATTTCTGGGAGTTGTAGGCCAAAAACATCTGGGGACCCCAGGTTGAGAACCACTGTTCTAGAAGCATTCTCTCCTGATGGTTCGTCAGCATCTATGGCAAATGTCAAGAGAGAATGCTTCTAGAACATGGCCATATACCCTGAAAAACCTACAACAACCCAGTGATTCCAACCATGAAAGCCTCTGACAATACATTAATATTAGCAATGTTTTTATTTGCATTTTTGTCATTTATGGGGGTTCTGTGCCCCTAGTCATAGTGAATGTGGAGGGCTAACTGTATTTTGGGAAGAACTCTAATTCTTGTTTTGCAAAAGGTTTTTTCCTTTGCGAATTGACAAGCAAAGCCATAGCATCTCTGTTGCAGTCTCCTTCCACCGTGCGCTGAAGGTGCCTCAGTGGACCCTCTTTCTTCCCCTGCTGTGTTGCCAGACCCCAAATCTCTTGAGCTGCGGCGTGCCAACGGCTTCGGTTTCTGGCTGTTGCCAGAGTATCTGCTGCCTTACTGCAGAGTTGGCAAGCGCCTGCGTGGCATGAAATCGGCACTGGAGCCAGGCTCGGTTCCGACCACACGGAAGTCAAGGGAGGTGTGTGCTGTAGCGGAATACCAGCCCCTTGGACGCAGGGGGCATCCATTTTGTTGTTAATTGGTGGTTTAAAAGCCATCGGACACCTTACCTTTTTGAGCCGCTGCTCATCGATTTCAGCACTGTTTCAGGTGCAAGTGGGCTTTTGGGAAATCCATCTTGTTTATGTCGGGCTACTATTGAATGCCTCAGTGTGTGTGTATGTGTGATTCGTTGACCGTAACTGCTTCAGTGGAGACTTTCCTCTTTCGAGGCTGGGCCAGGAAGGATTTTTTTTCCAGGCTGTCTTATTTGAAACTCGTTCTGACTAGTATCTGCTGAAAAATGCTCACGTACAAGCACTTAACGCAGCAGCTCTTAGAAATGTTTGTATCGCTCTGAGGCATGTTGCGTTTTGTTTTCTTGACTCACTGTTTATTGCTTGGCAATAGAGTAGACAGGTGTTAAACCTGCTTGGGGGAGTCTGGGGGCGGGGGGAGAAGGAGAAATAGCATAACATTAATACTTGTGCTCTACATTTAGTGTTCTATTTTATTTTTGTGCAAAAATAAAATCTGTACTCGCTATCTCCCTTTCCTTCCTTTTGGCTCAAATATCATTTTGAGATTCAAGGTATTTGATTTGATCCTTTTTGTTTTTGTTCAGCCATTGAATCTCTCTCTGGAAGAAAAAAATATAAACCGTAGTAGCAGAAGGGCCGTAGTGCTGTTGAACGGCTTTGTCCCTATTTTCACAGATGCACTGGGAATTGTTTTTTAATCTCCTTCCTGCTTTCCCATTACAGATGGCGACGACGACCCACAACTCTCCTGGGTGGCTTCCTCTCCCTCCAGCAAAGATGTTGCATCACCCACTCAGATGATAGGAGATGGGTGTGATCTCGGCATCGGAGAGGAGGAAGGGGGGACCGGCCTGCCGTATCCCTGTCAGTTTTGCGATAAGTCCTTCATTCGCCTGAGCTACCTTAAAAGGCACGAGCAGATCCACAGCGACAAGCTACCTTTCAAATGCACCTACTGCAGCCGGCTTTTCAAGCACAAAAGGAGCAGGGACCGACACATCAAGCTGCACACAGGGGACAAGAAGTACCATTGCCATGAGTGCGAGGCTGCCTTCTCTCGCAGCGACCACCTCAAGATACACTTGAAGACGCACAGCTCCAGCAAGCCCTTCAAGTGCACCGTCTGCAAGCGAGGTTTCTCTTCTACCAGCTCCTTGCAGAGCCACATGCAGGCCCACAAGAAGAACAAGGAGCACATGGCCAGGAGCGAGAAGGAAATGAAGAAGGACGACTTCATGTGCGACTATTGCGAGGAGACCTTTAGCCAGACGGAAGAGCTGGAGAAGCACGTCATGACGCGCCATCCGCAACTGTCCGAGAAGGCTGACTTGCAGTGTATCCATTGCCCTGAAGTGTTTGCTGATGAAAATGCCCTGCTTTCCCACATCCACCAAGCTCATGCCAACAAAAAACACAAGTGCCCCATGTGCCCAGAGCAGTTCTCTTCAGTGGAGGAAGTCTACTGCCACTTGGATAGCCATCGGCAGCCTGATTCCAGTAACCATAGTATCAGCCCTGACCCAGTCTTGGGTAGTGTGGCCTCCATGAGCAGCGCCACTCCAGATTCCAGTGCGTCTGTGGAGCGGGGCTCTACTCCAGACTCAACTTTGAAACCCATGAGAGGGCAAAAGAAGATGAGGTCCCTGGAAAGAGAAGAAGGCCAGACCTGGTCGAAGGTTGCCTACAGTTGCCCTTACTGTACCAAGCGCGACTTCAACAGTCTTGCAGTCTTGGAGATCCATCTGAAGACCATCCATGTGGACAAACCTCAGCAAAGCCACACGTGCCAGATTTGCCTTGAATCCATGCCCACCTTGTACAACTTGAATGAACATGTGAGAAAAGTGCATAAAAACCATGCATACCCAATGATGCAGTTCAACAGCATTTCAGCCTTCCACTGTAACTATTGCCCAGAGATGTTTGCAGATATCAACAGCTTGCAAGAACACATCCGCATTGCTCACTGTGGACCAGGAGCCACAACTCAAGATGGCAACAATGCTTTCTTTTGCAACCAGTGCTCCATGGGCTTTCTGACGGAGGCCTCTCTGACTGAGCATATCCAGCAAACGCACTGCAACCTTGGAAACTCAAAGTTGGATTCTCCGGTGGTCCAGCCATCACAGTCTTTTATGGAGGTCTATTCCTGTCCCTATTGTACAAACTCGCCCATTTTTGGCTCCATCCTTAAACTCACCAAACATATTAAAGAAAACCACAAGAACATTCCACTGGCACACAATAAAAAGGCGAAAGGTGAACAGAGTCCAGTGTCTTCTGACGTGGAAGTGTCTTCTCCCAAAAGACAGAGGCTTTCTGCCAGCGTGAATTCCGTTTCAAATGGTGAATACCCATGCAATCAGTGTGAATTGAAGTTCTCCAACTTTGAAAGCTTCCAGACACATTTGAAGTTGCATTTAGAATTATTGTTAAGGAAGCAATCATGTCCTCAGTGCAAAGAAGACTTTGATTCTCAGGAGTCCCTTCTGCAGCACCTTACTGTCCATTATATGACGACCTCAACTCATTACGTATGCGAGAGCTGCGACAAGCAGTTTTCATCAGTTGATGACCTGCAGAAGCATTTGCTGGACATGCACACTTTTGTGTTGTATCATTGCACTCTTTGCCAAGAGGTTTTTGACTCCAAGGTATCAATCCAAGTGCATCTGGCGGTGAAGCACAGCAACGAGAAAAAGATGTATAGGTGTACAGCCTGCAACTGGGATTTTCGGAAGGAGGTGGACCTTCAGATCCATGTGAAGCATAGCCATTTGGGCAACCCTTCAAAGTCACACAAATGCATCTTCTGCGGGGAGACTTTTAGCACCGAAGTGGAGCTGCAGTGCCACATCACAACCCACAGCAAAAAGTACAACTGCAAGTTCTGCAGCAAAGCTTTCCATGCTATCATCTTGCTTGAAAAGCATTTGCGGGAGAAACATTGCGTCTTTGATGCTGGCACTGAGAACGGTACTGCGAATGGCATGACACCGGCTGCAAAGAAAGCCGATTCTGCAGATATCCAGAACATGTTGATGAAGAACCCTGATACCTCCAACAGTCATGAAGCTAGTGAAGATGACGTAGATGCTTCTGAGCCCATGTATGGCTGTGATATCTGTGGGGCAGCTTATACAATGGAGGTCCTTTTGCAGAACCATCGCTTGAGGGACCATAACATCAGACCTGGGGAAGATGATTGTTCCAGGAAGAAAGCAGAGTTCATCAAAGGTAGTCACAAGTGTAATATCTGCTCAAGGACCTTTTTCTCAGAGAATGGCCTCCGGGAGCATATGCAGACCCACCGAGGCCCAGCAAAGCATTACATGTGCCCCATTTGTGGGGAACGCTTCCCATCTCTTCTGACCCTGACAGAGCACAAAGTGACTCACAGTAAGAGTTTGGACACGGGAACGTGTCGGATCTGCAAAATGCCTCTGCAGAGTGAGGAGGAATTCATTGAGCACTGCCAGATGCACCCCGACCTTAGAAATTCCCTCACTGGATTTCGCTGCGTCGTCTGCATGCAGACAGTCACTTCGACCCTTGAGCTGAAAATCCATGGAACGTTCCATATGCAAAAATTGGTGGGCAGCTCTGCAACGTCGTCTCCCAATGGCCAGGCCTTTCAGAAACTCTACAAGTGTGCGCTGTGCTTGAAAGACTTCAGGAACAAGCAAGACTTGGTGAAACTGGATGTTAATGGTCTACCATATGGGCTATGTGCCGGATGCATGACTAGGAGCACCAATGGACAATCTTTGGGCATGACCACGCCGGAAGTTAGTGAAAGACCGTGTGGCAGCCTGAGGTGTCCAGAGTGTAGTGTCAAATTCGAAAGTGCCGAAGACTTAGAGAATCACCTCCAGCTGGACCATAGAGACCTGACACCTGAGACAAGTGGCCAAAAGAAGGGTACACAGACATCCCCTGTTCCCAGAGTAAGTACTGCTACAATGTTGCATTTTAATAATCACCATATTAATTCCAGTCAGCTCTCCATGTTCGTGGATTTGACTTCTGCAGATTGGATTATTTAGGGATTTGGTGTAGTAGTATCTCTTGGGAGTTCTAGGTTAGTGATTCCCAACCTTTGGTCCTCCAGGTGTTTTGGACTTCAGTTCCCAGAAATCCCAACCAGTTTACTAGCTGTTAGGAATTGTGGGAGCTGAAGTCCAAAATACCTGGAGGACCAAGCATTCATAATCACCATAGTAATTCCAGTCAGCTCTCTATGTTCGTGAGTTTGACTTTTGCAGATTTGATTATTTATGGATTAGTGTAGTATTATCTCTTGAGAGCTCTAGGTTAGTAGTTCCCAACCTTTGGTCCTCCAGGTGTTTTGGACTTCAGCTTCCAGAAATCCCAACCAGTTTACCAGCTGTTAGGAATTGTGGGAGCTGAAGTCCAAAATACCGGAAGCATCAAGGGTCGGGAACCACTGTTCTAGGTCCCCCAGTGTGATTCTGTAGTCAACATTCAGTAGATGTTGACCACAGAAGAAATCTGGAGGACCTATAGAATCCCAGGGAGTTGTTCTCACTTTTTGTCGGTGTTCTGTTTCCTTAACCTCGGCAAATGTGGAGGCCTGACTGTAGATGTTCACTGGAGAAGTTTGCATTGTTAGAAATTGTGGGAGCTGAAGTCCAAAACACCTGGAGGACCAAAGGTTGGGAACCACTTTTCCAGGTCCTCCAGTGTGATTCTGTAGTCAACATTCAGTAGATGTTGACCACAGAAGCATGCTGGAAGACCTATAGAATCCCAGGGAGCTGTTTTCTTTCTCTCTCTTTTTTTAGTGTTCTGTGCCCTTAACCTCAGCAAATGTGGAGGCCTAACTGTAGATGTTCGCTGGAGAAGTTTGCATTGCACATGTGGGGGAATATAGCCATTGCCTTTAGTACTGAATTATTGAATGTGCCTAGGTCTTTTTCACCAAGGAGCAAATGAGAAAGCTAATAGATATGAGTGAGTTCCATATAAGTAATTTCAGTGTAAACATTGGGAAAAAAAATGTACCTGCATCCACTTGTTATCCCTATTAGGTAGACCCATTGGATCAATGGGAAATTGCTAAGTGAGCACTTATGTAAATTCCATTGATTCAGTGCACCTCCTTTAACTGAGACTAACAATTGGCTTTAACCCTTGGCTTCAGATGTGCTTGTTCTGCAGTACATAGCTATAGGACACAGATGTGTTTGTCTAACTGTAAAAATGTAACATTACATGCTTAATTATTTTTTAAGGTACCAGCTGTTCTTGTTTTCCAAAAACCTATTTTGTTTTCCTGCTTCCCATTAAGCTGGGCTGTCAAAACTTCTTCACTTAGCGATTGCTTCATTTGGTGGGAACCGTGGTTGTGGCATGAAACAAGGGTGTCAAGCACTGCTCATTCCACAATCTTATTTCTAAAATATTGATGGACAATTCCATTTTTCATAAACCAATTCTCAATGGGGTTTTAAAAATTTCTATTGTCGATTCCGAAACTGCTGGAAAGGGCGATAAGAATTCTTAAAATATTTATTTAGCACAATATTTATTATATCCTACCTTTTATTATGGAGTTAGGAGCCCACAGTGGCGCAATGGGTTAAACCCTTGTGCTGGCAGGACTGAAGACCAATAGGATGTAGGCTCAAATCCGAAGAGAGTACGGATGAGCTCCCTCTGCCAGCTCCAGCTCCCCATGCAAGGACATGAGAGAAGCCTCCCACAAGGGTGGTAAAACCTCAAAACATCCGGGTGTCATCTGGGCAATGTCCTGGGCAACACCAGAAGCGACTTGTAATTTCTCAAGTCACTTCTGACACGGAAAAAAATAATTATGGAATTACAAGATAGTGCAAAGTGAACTGATGTAAACAACTGAAAACACGTCCAGAGTCCAAATAATCAAAATAATGTAAACAACATAAAAACATATTACAGAACAGTGGTTCTCAACCTGGGGGTCGTGACCCCAAGGGGGGTCACCTGGCCATTTTGGAGGGGTCGTGAGGCCACCTCCGTTGTCCCTGCCCCAAGGGCGCGGGCCAGGTGAGAGCTCCTTCACGCGAGGCCTGACTTCGCGCAAATGCCCCTCGCCTGCCTCGCACTTTCGCCATCATCGGGACCCCTGAGCGGGGGGTCCCGACAAAGGGGGTGTCAGACGGGTTATCAAAGACCATCTGTTGACTATGGGGCTTCTGTTTGGTAAGTTTGGCTCAATTCTATCATTGGTGGGGTTCAGAATGCTCTTTGATTGCAGGTGAACTGTAAATCCCAGCAACTATAGCTCCCAAATGTCAAGGTCTATTTTCACCAAACTCCACACTGTTCATGTTTGGCCATATTGAGCATACATGCCAAGTTTGGTCCAGATTGATCATTGTTTGAGTCCACAGTGCTCTCTGGATGTAGGTGAACTACAACTCCAAAACTCAATGCCCATCAAATCCTTCCAGTATTTTCTATTAGTAATGGGAGTTCTGTATGCCAAGTTTAGTTCAATTTCATCATTAGTGGAGTTCAGAATGCTCTTTGATTGTAGGTGAACTATAAATCCCATCAACTACAACTCCCAAATGACAAAATCTCCCCCCCCCCCCAACCCCAGCAGTATTCAAATTTGGGCCTATCGGGCATTTATGCCAAATTTGGTTCAATGAATGAAAATACAACCTGCATATCAGATATTGACATTACGATTCATAACAGGAGCAAAATTCCAGTTATGAAGTAACAATGAAAATAATGTTATGGTTGGGGGTCACCACAGCATGAGGAACTGTATTAAGGGGTCGCGGCATTAGGAAGGTTGAGAACCACTGTTACAGAAGTTAACCAGGTAAAACTGCTTAAAGGGCTAAGATGTGTTACTGTTTACGTATGATGGAAAACTAAACAACACTGCGAAGACCTTGATAAAATGTCACATTTTGACTTTGTCCCATAAAGAATTCAAGATCAGTATTGATTGGGACTCAAAGGGAAAAGCAATCTGCAAGTGGGTGCCATAGCCAAGAAGGTCCTGTCCCATGTCCTCACAGAACATACTCTTGAGCCCATGAACAGAATAATTTCGAATTCTAAACTGGTCATTTCACTTGTTCATACTTGTTCACTGAGTGATGCTTGAATTATAACCTTATCAATTTCTTTCTCCATAATGAACTGAAGAATGGAATAATGCATTACAAAGTACCATATATGCTCATATTTAAAGATTACTATACATGGGGGCAGTCCCCGTGTTACAAACACCTAACTTACAAACAACTCCTAGTTAAGAACAGGGCTGAGACAACAGGAGTGATAGGAAATCTGCCACTTGGAAGAGAAATTTACTCCTGGAAGATTTATCATGGGGAAAAAGGTGTCTCCGCTAAAGCTTTCTCACCAATCCGTGTTTCCACAATGAGCCAAAATGCTTCAAAATCCAATTTTCACAGGGATAGAAACTGAAGTGACAAATTCTGAACAGCGGCACAAAACAAATGTCACAGGGGCTTTAACCCATTCCTGTGCTGTCCAATACTCTATCTATCCATCCATCCATCTATCTGTCTATCTAATCTATAGATGCATAGATAGATAGATAGATAGATAGATAGATAGATAGATAGATAGATAGATAGACAGACAGACAGACAGACAGACAGATAGAAGGGATGTGCGATCTACAAAAATGGTTCAAAAGTCATTACAAAACTGGGGAGTGCTGGCACTTTGTTTCTAAAGCGTTTCCAAAGTACACTTAGTGAAAATTTCATTACTATAATGAGAGTAATGAAATTTTGTTACACTAAATCAGGGATCCTCAAACTTTTTAAACAGAGGGCCAGGTCTCTGGCCCTCAAACTATTGGAGGGCCGGATTATAATTTGAAAAAATATATATGAATGAATTCCTATGCACACTGCACATATCTTATTTGTAGTGCAAAAAACACTTTAAAACAATATAATAATTAAAATGAAGAACAATTTTAACAAATATAAACTTATTAGTATTTCAATGGGAAGTGTGGGCCTGTTTTTGGATGATGAGATAGGATTGTTGTTGTTGTTGTTATGTGCTTTCAAGTAGTTTCAGGCTTAGGTTGACCCAGAGTGAGGGCTGGGTGAATGACCTTGGTGGGCCGTATCCGGGCCTTAGTTTGAGGACCCCTGCACTAAATTATTATATTGGGGAAACTTCAGGGGATCCTTTGATAATGCTTCTAGTACATTTCTAAGAATTCTGTGTTCTCAGTCTCCTGCCCATTAACTTTGTTAGTCCCCCTACTTTCCTGCATTTATCTAATATAGATTCATATGCACAAATCTAACAAATTTGATACAAATATGAAATAAAAATGAAATTTTGCGCACCCCCAATAGATAGATACATTTGGATGGAGTTATTTAAAATGTGCCTGTTTTGACTTACATACACATTAAGCTTAAGAGCAAACCTGCAGAATATACCTGAGGATTCCCTGTACTCATGTATAAAATTTTTAGTTAACCCCCAAACCTTGGGTTGATCCTGGATAAGGGTATGTTTAGTCTTATCAAGAAAGGAGCCATCTCACCCGGATCCACAGCTGTTTCAATACATTGTGATGTTTGGTGCTAAATTCGTAAATGCAATAATTGCTACATAACGTTATCGTGTATTGAACTGTTTTTTCTGTCAATTCGTTGTAAAACATGATTTATTTATTTATAGTGTCAGGAGCAAACCAAAACAGTTTTATTGCATTTAAAACAAACAAACAAACAAACAAAACAAAACACAAAGTTTGCAGACTTGGCATTCTATTAAATGTCCTTTGACCAGTATCTGGCCACTTGGAGTGCTTCTGGTGTTGCTGCAAGGAGGTCCTCCATTGTGCATGTGGCAGGGCTCAGGTTGCATTGCAGCAGGTAGTCAGTGGTTTGCTCTTCTCCACACTCGCATGTCGCGGATTCCA